TTTTCTGTTTTTCTACTTTTGGTTTACTGCTGTTAATTACTGGAATTAAGCCACCATTAAAATAATGAGCAGGGGTGGATCTAGAGTGGGGGCATAGCCCCCCCTAGTCAACCACTGTTCTATGGGGTCACCAAGGATTCTTCTATGTAATTAAAGATATAAAATGATCTGATAAAACCCATTTAATTAATAATTGTTAGGTATCTATACTTTACTCCATTACTTATTTTTCTCCCTACTTCTGACTTCTACTCATTACATTTTCACAAGTATCTCTACTTTCTATTCCTTACATTTTTAAAACAAACTTTATCTTAATGTTTATAAATATTTATTTCCCATCATGTGCTCCATCCAATGCAGATCATTGGCTCCATCCACATCTAGTGCAAACTAGTGTGATTGGATGAGTTATATAATGCAAACACTCATTGGTTAGCTAAAGGAAATCATCAGAAGCAAGCAGGTGTTCTTCAAACTGCAAACATGAATTGTCTATGTTATGCTACAATGTAGGATTCAGAAAAAGATGTCGAAAAGATGTTGTTTTTTTTATAAAGGTTACTTTATACTTTTATACTTTAAGTAGTTTTTGAGGCACATACTTTTTCACTTTTACTTGAGTAAAAAGGTCAAGTTGATACTTCAACTTTTATCAGTGTTTTTAAACTGCAGTATCTATACTTCTACTGAAGTAACAAATGTGTGTACTTTTGACACCACTGATCTTCAGTTATTTATTTTTTTAAACATATATTTTCCCATTGGTTCATTATAGATCAACCCTGAACTGTTTTTGGCCCCTTTCAGTTTTTGGGCCCCCACATTGGGTCCTGCCTGTGCCCCATGAACATTTACTAGAACAGCCACTGCTAATGAGGCGGCACAGGCTGAATGTGAATTTTTATGTGGATTTTTTAAAAAGTCTGCAGTTACATCATGAGAGAATAAAACTCAATTAGATCCAATGCAGAATAAATTGTTTCAATTCCTTTTTATGTCTTAAATCAAAGAGGTGTGTTTTGTTTTTTTCCTTTTTTTTGTATTAATTTTATTAATTCTTCTTCCAAACAGAGTTCAGAGCTTTTGGAGCTGAATGGGTGCAGAAATCCGCCCACCTGTTTCCTCTGGTTGCTGAGGCAGAAGGTGCAGATGGGCCGCAGGGGGGGCGCGCTGAGCGCGGGGGGGCCGTGCAGGATCCTGTCCTGGTAGCGGAGGCAGGGCTGTCCGTCCCTGCAGTCCTCCCCCAGCAGCAGCACGTTGGCCAGATGGGAGATGTAGCTGGAGGCCAGGCGCAGCGTCTCTATCTTGGACAGCTTCCTGTCTGCGGGCTCGGTGGGGATCAGGGTGCGCAGCGCGGTGAACGCGGTGTTCACGCTGTGCGTTCTGTCGCGCTCCCGCGCGTTCGCCGCCTGCCTCTGTCTGCTAACACCGGAAAGCCGCGCGTCTCTGCCGCTCCTCCTCCGCCTCCTCCTGCTCGCCGCCTCCGGGCAGCCGCTCTTCGCCAGCCGCTCCCCGGGCTCCCTGTGCGGGCTGTAGTCGCCCGTGGACTCCCCATCGGAGCTCTCCGTGTCGCTCTCCAGCTCTGCGCGGGACTTCATCCTGCCGCTGCTCTGCGCTGAATCCCGGCGAGCTGCGGCACTTTATCCGGCGGTGAAAATAGAGCCGGGGGCGGGGGGGCAGCAGCTGCCGCCGATCCGGTGACCGAACCGAGCGGGCTGCATACCATTACTGCAGAATGACGGCTGCTTTCTGGGTCACCGCCAGCCCGCCGCGGAGGAGGCGAGACAGGTGGAGGCTGAGGGGAGGAGGGGGCACCTGGTGGGAGGATGGAGTCTAAATTAGACTGGAGGCTCGGTTCAACTTCTTCACACTTTACCACATAAAATATTAACCTCAAAGTAGATTTGTGGGAAACTTTAATGGTAAATCTGAAAAGTGTGGCATGGATCTGTATTAATTTAAGTGCAGATTAGCAGAGGCGTAGCCAGAAAATCCTAATAGGGGGCCGAAAGGCACCAGAACCTCAGGGTCAATCTACACTGTTCCAACAGAGACGAGAACAACATCCATATTTTCTAAATAAAGACAAAATACATTTTCTTGCAACCTTTGCTAACAAATAGACGCATATATTTAAACATCTATGCTGTGTAAATTAAAGGTATAGACAAAATTCTTTCAGGTTTAAGTTCTGGGGCGAACATATTTCAAATATCATTCCCTACTTTTATCAATAATCATCTACAAAAAATTTAAATCTACTAATATCGACATTAAATGAATTTTTGTTATTAGTTATCTATGATTTCACTGAAGACTCCCAAATGACTTGCAGAGGCACATAATTTTGTCTTACCACAAATATTGCAAAATTTAGTTCTGTAAAAAGCAAGAATTCTGTATCTATCATCTTTAATGTTTACCATACCATACCATACCAGCTTTATTTATAAAGCACTTTAAAGCAACCAATATTTGTATATAAATGTGCATAATTAACCACAGTGTTTCTGTTAAGTTTATTAATATATGAAAACTTTAAATGTTAAGTTTGAACATTCCCCTTCAGAGTATTACTGCTGCCACCGTCTGTATTGGAGGGGGAAAAATGGTAGGGAGTGGCTAAGGGTGGCCCTGGCCCCCCATGTAGCTCCACCCCTGCAGATTAGACTTCTGCAACCGCACACATCAAATGTCGCTTGGGTTTGATCGCGAACCAGTTTTGCTGGTATGCTTCTGCATTTTCTAGGGACGCTCAGCAGTTTTCCGCCAAAGAGCAAGGGAGAGCCTATTCAAGAAGTCACAAGAACTTCGGCGTTGCCAGCGGGAGTTTTTTATTTTCCAAAACCACAATGGAGCCTCTGCAAGATATCACGGTCGCAGAGATGGATCTAGATTTGCTAGACATTGCAGAGAAAAAGGTTCTGTTAATGGAGTTGGCAAAAAGACAAAGGGGGACGCGTAGGTTGTCTATTGTAGTCGTTCCTCGGTTTTTATAAATGGCGCACCCCGGCACCGAATAGAGAAGGACGATCGCACAGATAGCCGGAAAGGCATACCAAGGACCAATCACAGCTGCTTTTGGTCCGAGCAGTTCCGCTTGTGGTCTGTGCAGGTTTCTGACCGTTCGACGCATAGTCAGGATTTTTTTTGAGATGTGCGACGACGGTTGCAGAACCTCTGCACTGGCGGCGTGGTCGCGCACAGAGACTGATTTGACGGTTGCAGAGGCTATGCATCAGAAGCATAAATTGTCCTTTACTGAAACACATTTCAGCCTACTAATTAGAACCAACCTATTGGGGGATGTGAAACATGGAGATGGTAGTGTCATGCTGTGGGACAGTTAGCAGAAGCAGAATGGCTAATCTAGTTAATGAAGCTAAATGAAGGACATTGCAGGGGAGAACCTGTTAATCTGGGTCTTAGGTAGTGTTGCGCTGATGCTGTTTTTTGGCACCAATACCTGGCTGTGCAGTATTGGAGGATGCCTTCTATTTGAAATTGATGTGAGAACTGCATACTACTTGGGTGTACAATAATTGCCATCATGGCTTTGTCAAGCTGCTGCCTACGTTTGTGAAGCAGGAAAAAGACTAAAACAAAGTGGATCCAGTAGAACTTTTTATTGCCTACCTGGAATGGGTGACAATAGTTGAATAAACTTTTGGCTCTCAAAATGGCATCAGTGCCTTCTATGCCGGTGCACGCCAATACCGATACCACCACTTTAGTGCTGGATCAGGGCCCCGTCCGATACTATCTGTATTGGTGCAACACTAGTCTTAGGTTTATCTTCCACCTGGACAACCACGTTAACGCTTGTGCCAATATCAAACTTTTAGATCCTTTGCACTACACACCTGAATCAAAAAGTCAAGCTTGACTGCTAACAGGTAGCGTCTGCTAATGAGCTCATGTTGCAGTCGGGTTTGATGGAGCAGAGATGCATCTGAAGGTTGCAGGACAACGGCACCTCCAGGTCTTACTTTAGTTTCACCTTCAAACCCTCTATTTCACTGCTTGCTAAGCGGCTGTGGGGAGATCTTTAAGCCACCTTGTTAAAAACATGCTTCAGAAACAGGTTTTTGGGTCAGACAAGACCATAAGCTTGTAAAGCATGGTGGAGGTGGTGTCATGCAGTGACTGTGTTCCTACAGTCTGCTAAAGGCATATCTATGAAGGCGTTCTGTATGCAAACTCTAAACCACGTGTATAACCCAAAGCTGAATTTTATTGCATCAATTTCTTTCTATAAACCTGCAACACAGACACCTAAACCATCCCTGACCATGATGGTGCCACTCTAATGTTGAAAGCCTCACCTTGACTCCCCCAAAACCACATTAAGAAGGGGATTAATCAGTCCTTTATAAACTGTTTGTACTCCAATATAGTCTGCTTATCATTTAAACTGGTTTGAAAAGACATCTACACCTCAGAGTTTGTCTCTTGGTACGAGACCTTCATCCTGGAGTGTTTGTTTGTTTGTCTGATGGGATCCAGGGGCTGCAGGAAAAGTGTGCCACCCTTGGCCGTGGACTCTGAGCTCCCACTGAGTGAACAGTCCAGGTGGAAGCAGCCTGCAGTCTGTCAGTACCCTCCAGGGCCATCTTTGGGGACGGATATAAATATCTTCCTCCTGTGGGCTGCTGTTGAAGCTCAAACCCACGGTCAGGATGTCAGTTTCTTCTACGTTTCCACACATATCTGCCATTTGTTTATTTTATTTAATTTTTTTAATTTCTGCTCATACTTAAGTTTCATTTAATATCTAATAGAAAATAATGAGGGGTTATAAGGAAGTTCTCATTAAACATTTTATAATTATTTTAAGTGGGTTAGTGATTTTTCTCCTTTTTTTTATACTTCTATAATTGTTGCCACTAGAGGGCGGTAAAGTCCCTGTAATTACTTTCCAAGCTCGGAACCTGCAGCAAAAACACTGTTTTTATAATAAAGGTTTAAAGCACATATTGCAAAAAAAATAAGATAAAAAAAAATACAGACCAACTGGAAACATTTTTTGAAGCCTTATGCAAAAACATTGCTGACAAATGTCTTTACTTTTACTTTATATATATATATATATATATATATATATATATGAATAGCATTTTTTTTTTGTTTTTATTGTGTTAAAAAAATCAAAATAACCACTTGTGATGAAAACTAACTAAAATTTGTATAAAATACCCCCCCCACCCCAAAAAAAGTGATTTTGCTTCACTTCAGCTAAACGCTTTTTGAGGCAAAAAAGCACTTTGACTCCAAGTAAAAAAGGCTTGTCTTGTAGGAAGCTAAACAAAATTTTATTTAGCATTTTGAATTGGTGTTTTAGTTTTGTTTTTTTTTTGTTTTTTTTTTCTATTTTCACATCATGTGTTTGAATGTTTTTCATATATTGGAGGAAAACTACTTCATAAAACAGTGAATCTAATAATTTAATGAGCCTATATTTTCTAACATTGTTAAATTCTGCAACGTAATGGCCTAAAATGAAATAGGAAATCCGGAGCCCCCTCTGGTGATAACCCAACATACAGCATGTACTGTACAACAGTTTCTTATTTTAAATAAAATCTTAGCTTTATTCTTGACATTTTAACTCAAACTTTTGTTTCAGGAAATCAATCCAATGAGAAATGCCTATAAAATACATTTTTTATTCTCTTACAAAACAACCAAATGATTACAAAGTGATTAAGAAATATACATCGAGGAATATATGACAATATAAAACATCCAAATAAATAAATAGTCATAGAGGAGGTTGGATTATAGGTGAGGAACCTGAACATGGAGGTATTTACAGTAGTCAGGACATTGTTATGAGTTTGGTTGGATAAAAGGTTCCCGTCCAATGGGAGCCTTCCTTTTTTTCCACCTTTGCATCAAAACGTCGTCTTCAGCCTTGAGCGATGGGGAGCTAAAACATGACAGAGAAATATTCACATGTATGAAGACAGAAAAACAATCCATAATCTCTGCATGTGGTCCTCCTTACCCTCTGGGAACAGCGAGATCCAGAGAATCCGCTCCTGCAGGCGCAGACGTTTGGACGGACGCAGCGGCTGCCGTACAGACATCTCTGCTCACAGCGAGCTGAGGATAGAAACGGTTTGAAGCTTTTATTCAGAAGCAGAAGGAACGTCTGCAGAGCATGAAGTAACGGAGGCGGTTTCAAACTCACGGTTCTGGCACAGCAGGCCCTGCCAGCCCGGCGGACAGGTGCAGGTGTTTGGACCGACGCATTCTCCTCCGTTCAGACACCTCTGCAGACAGCTGGCTGAGAGGAGACATCAACTAGATTTACATTTTAGGGGATCTTAATGGAGATTTGTTTCTCATTGGATTCATCAAGTCAAAATAGACGCATCCATTTCAGTCCAGTTATAATTTATTCTAATTCACTGAAACTTGTTTCTATTAAATAAAATAAAATGAAATTCAGTACCATTAGAACCAGATGGCCATCTAAAAACTCATTTATGACTTCCACTACTTTTACAGTTTAAGTTTAATCTCAAATCTAATCTGTAGATTCCAGTTCTGATCAGGTTTGAACTAATTCAGCTCTAAAAAATAAATATAAACCCCCAGTTTGATTCGTTTTAGTCCAGTCTAATCCAGTCCAGGTGCAATTCAATCCAATATTTTCATTTTCTAAATGCTTTTTTTGTTTCTAAATACTTTCCAAAAGTCAGAATCTGATGCATATGTATTGATTTACAGTCTGTTCCCCTTCCCACTGGAGTCCAATTAAACAGAGAACCGCTTATACACTTCATTTAATCCCTAATTCAGTTTAATCTAATCAGTTTTAGCTCAGTTGATTTTCTCCATCTCGGCATATGTTGCACGCAGCTACAGCCAGTTTCCAGTCAGTTCCACTTTAGTCAGACGATAAACTTTATTCATATTATGCAGGAATACAATTATATCCATTTACAAACTTGCCAAAAGAAGCCAATTCTATTCAGTTCAGTTTAATTATGGACAGCTCAGCTGAATATCGTTAATTAATTCAGGTCAGATTTCAACAAATTGGTTGATCTTTTTCCAGTTTCATTTGGATTTCAATATATTCGAGGTGGACGTGTGAAAAAGCTTTAAGTGTCTTCTAATCCAATCAGATTCATCTCATAGACTTTGTTCCAAAGGATCTATCATGGCTTAAAGCGAAGCTTTAGATCAACAGGAGAATTATCTAATGTATTTTTTTTCCCGTCATTCTCAGACAAGGAACCCAGAGCAGATGATTGTTGCTCATGCCTGGCAGCTGCTCAGGTGTGAAGCATCACACTAATGAGTCAAAGCTGCAGCAGGTGGTGCTTCCCTTCTCCTTTACATTCCTGTCGTTCAGGAGAGGGAAGGTCGGCTCCAGGAACCAGCTTAAAGGTTTCCAAGGTGGGGGGTCCCCATTGGTCCAGGTAGGGATGGTGAGATGAAGCCTCATGAGGCAAATTGCTTCAACGATCCTCGCAGTTCATGAAGCTCTATGGAAACATGTCAAAACCTACTGGTGGAGTAGAGAGCTATAGTTAATAATATAATTGTGATTTTTTTTTTTTTTTTGCAATATTTTTCATTTTTTCCCCCCATATAAATTCATTTGAAATTGTTAATGTTTACTCTGTATAATAAAATCTCTAAGTTTTTTTTTTTTTTGGGTGTAAAATGTCTTGGAGAAAAATCATTTTAGGTTCACTATTCTGCCATTTTAGTGAAATAACTGAAGCAGACAGTGAAAGTCTTTGTGCAAACTGGGCAATGATGAGAAAATGAAAGGTGTTAGTCATTTTTATTACAACATTATAGTTTTTCCAATGTTTTTGGTTTTAATCAAGTTGAAAGTTATCTGTTCAACCATCTTTTGGTTAAACCCACATATCAAATTTTTTGTGTTTTTTAACCAATCTATATTTATACTTAGGGCAACCAATACAAATTAGTCACATTAGCCGAAATACTTGTGTTTTATTCAGGGGCGGATTTAGGAAATTTGGGGCCCTAGGTAAAGACAGACAGGGGGCCCTTTGAATTGAGAAGACAACACATAAAACAGACCAATTCTACAGATAGAGAAATGTTAATAGAATAGACATCCATTATCTGTTCTAGGTTGTGTCCCTCTCTTCTTGTCCCTTTTCTTCTTGTTTTCCTCTCTATGTTTTGTACTCAGCTGACTTTTCATGCTGTCTCTAAAGGAATGAAAGATTTTTTCCAAGCACTAAGCTCACTTAGCTGATTGCTCCTTCCTGTGTTTCCAAAAAGGCAAAAGTAAATAACCCAGTCCTTCTTTTCACTGTATATAAGCCATGATCTGCTTATCTGTTATTTTTTCTGAAATAATAGCTGCATCAATCATGACTGCAGACAAGATAGTGGAGAGCAGGAGGGCGGGGTTACCAATCTACTCGCTCTAGATTTGGCGCTAGGAGCTTTTTGAAAATCAAAGTGCTAGAGGGGTCTGAAAAGTGGCTAAATATAGCAACTAAAGCGCTAAGTTAGCAACACTGCTCTTTGCATGGTTTGTTTTCAAATGGTTTGCTGCTGTCTGTTTGGACCTTTCTGAACATGTGCAGCAAATGGACTGATCCAATATGGTGGACACTGAGGGGGGGGCTGAGACACACTGAATATTATAAGCGTTCTGATGGCATTTTATTGAGAGGATTTTTATCAAAAACATAATTAATGTGCACAAATAAGGAATAGTTGTATTAACCATACATTTAAACAGAGTTTTAAGGGGCCCCCAGGAGCTTGGGGCCCTAGGCAGCTGCCTAGTATTGCCTAATGGTGAATCCCCCCCTGGTTTTATCGAAACTTTTAAAAGTCAGAGGGTCTTGAACCATCAACTGATAGATTGGAAGTCCATCTCTTACAGGTGAAACCACTCATAACATCACTAGCTTTGTGTTTGTTCAGGGAACGGGTCGGCAACCCAAACTGTTTAGAGACATTGGACCAAAAAAAAATTGTAAAAAAATCTGTCTGGAGTCGCAAAAATGCCTCGTATGGCAAAACATTAGCCCACTATAAAATATGTGGGCTTAAATATATAATAAGCATGTTTATCCTGCAGCAAATGTCACATCAATGCCTACTCTGCTGCACGATGTTTGGTTCTTTAAGTATAAATTCCATTATGATATTAATGTATTTGGTTTTGTTGCATTGATGAAATTATAGAGAGAAAAAGAAATCAGATATTTGGTGATATCTTAATTTTGAAGATTTATGGGAAAATATGGATGAAAGTTCCCATCAGTGCATCAGAGCGCTACGTGTTCGATCTGTAAACGGTTTTTCATGCTTGCAACAAAACTAGCTGCAGTAGTGGAGTCTGGAGATGCAATCCTCTTCTTTAATCTATATTTGCATTCTTGTAATTTTTCAGAAGCTCTGCAATCGTGCTTTCATCTTTTAATTCCAACTTGGTGTTTGGCTGCATATTTATCATCCTTCCCTGTAAATTCCTTTCCAAATGAATCTATTTAATATTTGACAACTCCTCATTCCAAAGCAAACATGCAGGCAGTCCATCCGCATTGGTAATGAAAGCAAATGATTCTCCATTCTTATTTGAATCATTTGCTCTCTTCCTTTTTTTTCCCTTTGGGATCCATGGCCCAAGACACACCCACCGCTTCGTTTACAACAGCCACCTGCCTGGCGCCGTGCTGAAACGTGTGTCGCAGGTTAAACTTTATTGTTTAAATGTATTTACTATACAATTTTATTTATTTATTTTTTTTACAGGATTGAAAACATGTTTGTTTGGCCTCCTGCACATCATATTAAAATACAAAATAAAAAAATCCATCTTTTTCCATTTTAATACATTTTTGAAAAAGCTCCAGGGAGCATCAAGGGGGTCATTAAAGAGCCGCATGCGATCCCTGATCTAGGGGAAGACGCAGTAAAGCAAACATTATTTTACGTTTTCACTTCTTTAAACTTATTATGGAGTCAATGTGGTTCCATTAATAATTCCAGAAGCTGGAATAGAAATTGAAGAAGGGAATCAAAGATCTCATTGCGGCGTCTGGCAAATGGATCTTTTTGCTCATTTTAATTGATGGGAAACTTGAAAGGTTTACTCTCATTTAATCAGAATGTTTCTCTGTCTGCAGTTGATGTGGATCATCGATGGGAGTTTATAAGGAGGAGGTTCCCTTACGTTTGTCACATCTCTTCCCTCGCCAGCCAGATGGACAGTCGCACACATCAGGGCCGACACACCTGCCGCCGTTCATGCACATGGGGTCACACACACCTGGCAGACGGGAGGAAGGTAAATGATCTTAAACCTTCATGAGAAATAAGGAGTTTAACACCATTGAACCAAGAAGTAGAGGACTGACTTTTCTCGCAGCGTCCTCCAGAGTATCCCTGCAGGCAGGAGCAGATGTTGTTCCTCATGCACATGCCGCCGTTTTTACAGGGTGGACTGCAAACGGCTGTAAGGGGAAGATCGTTATACCATAAACTGTAAAGTTAAACGTGTCTGAGATGTTTTTATTTACCGTTCTGACACTGAGCTCCGTAGAAACCATGAGGACACTCGCAGGTATTCGGCCGAGCGCACACTCCTCCGTTCAGACAGACGGGGGAGCACAGAGCTGAAGGAAACGGACAGTTGCCTCACTGAAACCTCTCGGGTTTGGTCCCTAAAGCGGAAATAACTCACCGCTCTCACAGGACGGTCCGGTCCAGCCTGGAGGACACGTGCACTCGTCTGGGGACGAACACCGGCCCCCGTTGTGGCAGTGACGGCTGCAGACCACTGTGGCCAACAACAACAACGGACCCGGTTATCAAGAACCACAGCATCACACTTCCTCTACTGTACTTCACAGTAAAAATACTTTTTTTTTTTTTTTTTTTTTTTTACTGTTTTATCTGTTTCTATTTCCTAAATAATAACGATCAAACAACCGTGTTCTTAAAATATTCTATAAAAAGATTTGCAGGATTTGTAATCCGTTGTCTATATTCTATCAGGTGGGCATAACAACACTCTTCAGTGTGGAAGAAGGTGTATGAACTGAAGTCAGATCAACCATATTTTTATTCAGATCTATTAAACTTCCACATGATGAGAAATGTTTGCAATTTACTCAGGCTGTGAAAGAGAACAAGGCTTTCAGCAGATAACAGGAAGGCCAAAGGTGCTAAAGTTAAGACATCTGTTAAATCCTGTCCATTTAGTTTAGTAAATACTTAGGTCCTTTGGCTTCATTTTAAAGTGCAAGATTTTACAGTTTGGGTAGAAAGGAACAGGATATGATGGAAAGAGGAGACAAAAAATTAAGAACAGTGGGAAGAAATGAAGAGGGAAAAATGAGGAGGTGAAGAAGGAAGCATTAGAGAAAGGAAAGAAGGAAAGGTTACAAGGAAAGGAAGGATTTAAACACATAGAGAATTCAAATCATATTCTAAAATTTTTCTTTGCTTTTCTTTTCAGCTCTTACACAGATTTTGAAGGAACAGACAATTGAGTAAAAAATGTGACACAAAGTAAAGGTAAAGATCTATAATCTGACTTTTTTGTTATGGTTGCTATGCTAATTAATTGTGATATGAAAAAACAACACTTAAAATGTGAACTCCAATTTCTTTCCCCGATATCATCATATATGCTTCTATTGTAAACTGTGATCAGTCCATCTTTAGCGCAGGTAGATACAATTATCATGTTTTCAGATAAATCTTTTTAATATAAAGAAATAAAATTCAGTTTATTTCTATAGCGCCAATTCACTTTACAGTTCATCATCAAGTCAAACTGATTAAAAGTTTTCTATCTAAGGAAAACCAGTTGATTGCATCGACTCATTGACTCGAATGCAATCCCTCACACTAAGCATGCTTGTAGCGACAGTGGAGAGGAAAAACTCCCTTTTAACAGGAAGAAACCTCCAGCAGAACCAGGCTCAGTGTGAGCGGCCATCTCACACAAAATGAAAGCATAATTATCTGAAGCAGGAAAACCAGAAGAGAAGGAATATAAGATGATTCAGAAGAGTAAAAAAGATGGAAGAATCTTGTTGGAATGCATTCTGATTAAACTGGAACCCTTTATTAAAAAATATTAACTGTTACCAAATCTCTCATAAAACAACATGGACAAAGTTCATGAACACTCTGAACTCACTTGTTTCACACCGAGGACCAACAAACCCATAAGGACAGGAGCAGGTCTGCAGTCCCACACAGCTGCCTCCATTTTCACACGGTAACCTGCACAGAGCTGCACAGACATCCAGTTCTTACCTGTTTTAGAAATGTCATTAAACCCTCTGCAGACGTATCTGATCACTCAGGAAACTATCATCCTTTTTGAAGATGCATGGATGGTTTAAACGCTGCCCAAATGCTCACCTTGTTGACATGTTTCTCCATGGAAACCTGTGGGACACTGACACACGCCTGGAGCAATGCAAACCCCGCCATTGATGCATTTCGGGTCGCAAATCGCTGATGGAAAATTTAGAAACAACAAAGTTGTAACGCATTAGACCTGAAGACAACTGCTTTAGTTCCTCGACAGTTTATTTTTTTTTTAAACCTCCTACCTGTCTGGCAATTTGATCCATTGTAGCCCGGTTTGCAACGGCATGTGTTGGGTGCAGCACACTCCATGTTTCTGCCACACAGGTGCCTGCATACAGCTTAAACAACCAACAGGAAGCAATGCTGATTAATCCATTCGAGACAGTTTTCCTTAAAGCTCAGATGTAGATGATGGTGCCACAATCGCCTGAGCTGTTCCATGTGGTGTAACACAAGTTGCTAACCAGGTATTATGGCGTTTACTGCAAAATATCTTTGATGTTCATACTGCGGATTTATCCCCTTTTGATGAACAAACTGTCCATGTTGGATATTCTAACACCAGGCTTTAGCTATAAATTAAAAGTCCACTTTTTTAAGTTGATGATGGATTGTCATTGGGCATCTAGAACTTTATCCAAATCAACATTTGACCTCACCCGATACAGGTAGTCCATTCTTGGTGTTTCTTAAAGTTGTAGGGAAGTCATATTTAAATGTCAAATCATTCTGGCTTAAACATGTATA